AGGAGGGAGGGGGGGGGTGGGGGGGGGGTGTACTCATAGTCGTGCATGCCGTAGTCGTTAGACCATTGACCTCGCATCCCTACAAAGCCGGGACGGAGCACGCCGGGTTCTCACCGGACCAGGCTCTCACATCACCAAGCGCGAAGCACCGTGAGGTATTCGGCGAGTCGCATGAAGGGTGAGCTGCATCCTGCTAAGGGTGTTCGGCATCTTGTGCTTACTTCCTTGCGTACGGATGACAGCTGCGTATGATTTAATTTATTTTCTGGTGCGTTCACTTCCAGAGACAGTTATAAGCACTATGTAGCTGCCTCGAGGATGCTTGACCATTTTAACACAACGTGGTGCGATCATCCCCCTTGCGCGGAGTGAGGTTTCTTCACCCCGCACAACATGATCTACTCGACCACCATTCACCGTTACCGCCAAAAAAAAAACAGAGTTAAAAAAAAAAAACCGGTAACCTGGTTGCCGAGTTCACGATGTGAATTGGCTTCTTTACAACGACGTTGCCAAGCGACGAAAACTCAATCCCGATGGCAAACACCGAGGGGGGGGCTTGTTTTACAACGTCGTTGCCAAGCGACGAAAACCCAACCCCGATGGGGTGGGGGGCCGGGGGGTGTGTCTTTCCCCCCCGAGGCTGTCCACGTAGCTGTCTAGTCGCGGTCGCCTCTTGACGCAGCATTGTGTTTTTCTGCTTGCTTGTGTAGAAACTGGTGCGCGCGGTGGATGGATGGTCCACCACAGCAAACAGCGGTGTAGAATAAGCGAGAATACCAGGCAAGCTCTCGGGGTGTCGTTTGTTCGAGGGATGAACGAAACAATGTGGCGGTTTCTGAGTGGTTAGCAGGTGTACTTGAGCATGCAGCCTTTCTGAAGGAGCAGCCCTGTTTGCCAGCAGAGTTTTCGCGTTCAGGCCGTCGTGCTAATACTTTGTCTCCACGTTTTTTCGATGTTTTGTGTTGTTGTGTTTGTTGTCGGCCTCAAGCTCACGCTAGCGTGCCGCCCCGCCGCCTCGTGTGTTTTCATGCCCGCCCCACCGCTCCCCACAGAGCCAGGCTGGTGGTCGGCGTGCTGGTGGCGGAGGCTCAGGCGGAAGACGCCTCGCGTGCTTCGAGGAAAGCGGCGCGTGAGGTGAGCTGAGATGGACTAAACGAGGGTGCCGTGGTCGACGTAGGGTACCCCTGTTGCTGTGGTGGTGGTGGTGGTGGTGGTGGCGGTTGCGGTGTGTGTCGTCTGCTCGCCGCGGCCGAGTTGACGTGGTAGCATGAGGCACACCACAGTTTGAAGGGTTGCGTAGTTCCCCCGCTTTCCTCCGGGAAGGTGTCGTTACGGGGGGGGCACCGCAGGTAGTGAGTGCGCTTGAACGGCAGAAGCGCCCTCGGATTGAGCACACCGGTTCGTGTGTTTTCATCACCCCTTTCACACCGTCAGTCGTCAGTGGCGAGCGGTTTTTACCAACTAGCGTAGCGACCAACAAGCATATAGATTGTAGGTACTTCGCCTGCGGGTTGCGGGTTGGGGGGGACAGGACGGCAAGGCGAGTGTTCACGTCTGTAGCACCACCCAAAGCTGTTGATTGTGATTGGTGGAGGGAAGTGGAAGACTGACTGTCGATTGGTGCTGCACGTCGTTAGCCGTTGCTCGATACATGCTTGTCTTTGCAGACGGGCCATCGTCAGTTGGATGCTCACTGGCACTGAGTCGACACGCTGCCGTGTGCTCTTTTGTTGATGCCTGGGCCGATTCCATCCCTGTTGACAAGCCAATTATATACGTTTTGGTGTTCATCTCCACTTACATGTGTGCGTTTTGATTGCTGTGGGATCCATCGATTTTTCTTCCCTATTCCATTCCATTGCCCGATGCACGGCTTCATTTTCCACCACGGTAGGCGCGTTCGCCATGGTGTCCGTTTTTGTTCCATAAGTTGCGGCTGGTTTTTGAACCTGGTTTGGCTGTGGCCCCCTTTTACCACTCACTCGAACACTTCCCGTTTTCCCGGTTTGCACAGGTGCGCGCGGACGTCCAGCGCGCTCGCAAGGCTCTTGGCTTCCTTTCCAAGGCCGTCGAGAAGATCCGGTACGCTTGTTACCGTACCTGGTGCACGTTTTCATCCCCCTGTGGTGTTGAAGAACGCAGCAAGGCTCGATTGAGATGGCACCTTATAGAGCGGGGCTGTTGGGTGTGTACCCAGGCCGTTGTCTACTTGTAGGCGTGTTGTGTTGGGTGATTGTTGCAGCCATCGTTGTTAATATTTGTAGTCGCCTGTTTTGGTCTGGCCGATAGCACGGGCCGTTACTTTGATGGTTTTAGCGGCAGGAGGAGCCCGTGCTTCCGTTGTCTCAGGCGGAAGAATGCTTACAGTAGTCGCTCGCTGTAAGTCGCTTGTTGTGGTTTTTTTATTGCCCTCAAAGGGTACGGAAGTGGTTTGCTATCTTACAATGCAGGGTTTCGGGCCCCTTTACATTTCTTGTTTTCTTGTGTCGGCGAACCAGGCGCTGATTAAAATACTCTTGTGGCATGGCGAGCGAACGAACGAACGAACGAACGAACGGCGCCCTTAGTGTTGTTGTTGTTGTTGTTGTTGTTGTTGTTGTGTTTCAGGTCGGGTACGATCGCGACGGACATGTTCGGGGAGCTGAAGGAGCGGCTCGAGGCGGCCGCTGACGCCGCTCACGAGGAGTACTGCGACGCTGTCAAGGTGCGGCGTAGCACACGATGCCTAGCACGGGCATGTGCTATGCTACAACAAGGGGGCGGTCGCGTTTGCTGCCTAATCCGAATCGAGCTTTAATCGAGGATGTACGCGGCACGCTCACTTGTTGTTTTAGTAGATGTCGTAGATGTGTTTGGTGTGTGTTTCACGCAAGCAGTTGATCTCGTTTGCGCAAAAGGCCCCGGGGTTCGAAGCGCACGTTCAAGTCACCCCCTTTCCTACCACTAATCCATCAGACACCCCTAACCGGCGCGTGAGAATTCGCGGACCTTTTGTAGGTAAATGCTGCTGTAGGCTTGATGCAAGTCTTTCATTGATGATGGACGAAATACTAAGGAATTGATCCCCTCCTCCCCCCGGAGGTATTGTAGGTGTTACACGATCGATAAAGAAAAAGGAAAGTTGAAGCTGTTGCTGCTCAATGGTCTGTCTGACCCCGGTCGTTTTCACGCCAGAAATGCTCGACGCGTCCTGGTCTCTTCTGGTATCGCATGCAAGCGCCACCATCGTGGCAACACGGCCCGTGCATGTAGGATGTACCAATCACGTTGCTTCCACCGGTCTCTTTTTCCCTCCCTTTTCTGAGCCATGTATGCATGCCCTCGTAATTTTTTTGTCTCTGAAAAATTTCCTTCCCATTTGCCAGGACGCCAAGCCGGCCAACGAGTACGCGGAACAAGCGGTGTCTCTCATGGAGTCGGCCGAGCAGCTCTTCGAAGAGCTCGATATCCTCGGCACGGGGGTAAAGGACAGGTTAGTTAGTACATAGCCTACATATGGGGTATATAAAGGACAAGGTTAGTACCCGGGTACTTGCGGTAGAAATGTAGGGTACACGGTGCTTGGACGGGAAATGCATGAGAAAGAATACATTTGACTTCATTTCTCGCATTGATTATACACGAGCGTATCCATCTATCTTTTCGTACGGCACCTGTTTGGGAACCTTGAGAGGGCCGAATCATCACAGCGGGGGGTAAATTCGTACGTGTAACATCACTTGAATCAAGTATTTCCGCATTGGATGGTTGGCATGGGTGTGTCGTATTTATACGCACCAATCGACCGGTCTGGAAAGTGCGGTGTGCTTTACTTCGTTGTTTGTATCTGCGTTTGATTTTTAAGAGTTTTTTGTGCTCTTTCAGCTGGTGGCTTTCGATCACCGGTTTTGTCTTCTTTTCCTTTTCTCGTGCAAAGAAAGTTGATCCTGTGTGTCGTCGCACAAGTTGTGTTCTCGTTGTTGGCAGTCTGGACGTCATACAGACCACTGCAATGCTGCTCCTCGTACGGACCGCTTTCCCTCCTGCCCACGCCAACACCTGTTAGCATTGGTGTTGTAAGTTTTTTCTTCGTTGTACTCACTCATATCATCCGCCTGTCGGGAAATAAATAACAGGCGATCTAAGAAACGGAGGTTGCTGATACTTTTTCGTTGAAGGCGTATTATTTCAGTTGCATTTTTCTAAGTTGATTCCTTATCGTTCTCCTATCAACGCAGTAGGACCGGAGTTGAAGGAAATATTTTCTCATTATTGGTGTTCCTGCTATGTGCAAGCAAGTGCATTCATTCCGGCAACATCATATTTTTGTGACCCTACTGCTGCAGTAGCACCTGGTCCACGACAACGCGAACAGGAGACTCAAGCGCGGAGGACAGACACCCTTGAAGGTTTTCGTCATGTTTCTTCCACCGCCGTGCCCTTTGGTCATCGTTGGTGCTTTCTCGCTCAATCATTGCCCTCGCCCAACGCTCTGCTTTTTCTGCTCCCCCGCTTTCTTCTGTGTCGTGCGTACACACCCGTGTGTGCTGCATGCATGGACGCAAAAAAAAAAAAAACGTCCAACAGGGTGAAAGTTGTCCACAACAGTGGTGGCGGGGCGATGGGCGAGATGGAGCCGGCAGACACGGAAGAGTCGCTTCTCGTCTCCGCGCTAGAGGTACGCTTATTAATGTCATTGTGTACGTATCCCCAAAATCCAAGAACCCAATCATTACTGTAGAGTGTATATTTTGTGGTGATGTGTGCACGCACACGATCGATTGACTTCATTCTGCGGGGGCTCCGTCTCTCAGCAAGAGAGATGTGGTGGCGTTTGCCTACGGTATACAGTGGTGCTAGCATATGCTGCGGGGAGGTATAGCGCACGGTGTTCGTGACACGGAAGGGGAAGTGTTCCACGGGAACAAGAATGCGTTTGGCTTGCGCGTGTGCGGGAGGCGATTTGAACGAATGCGCTTGTCTTTGTGTGTGCATGCATATGTCTCTCGTATTTGTGTGTGCATGTTCAGGTTGTACTGGCTATCGCCGCCAACGCCCAGGAGCTGGCCGCGAGGGCGGCGGACAACGCCCGGTTCGACATGCAGACCGCGCTCGAGGAGGTGGCCACAGCCGAGAAGATTATCCGGAGGTGAGGACGCGCGCAGGGGCGTGAGCGCTCGCGTGTGCGCCGCGGGAGTACTGATGCATAGGACGTTTGTTGGGGGCGACATTCGCCATGAAAGCACTGCTGTATCCCTGGAAAAAGAGACAAGAGGTGGCCCTGACGCTGGATGACGCATCGTATCGGTACCGGAGTAGTGTCGTTCGTGTGGACCCCGACCGCTGGGTCTCTTTGTTGTATCATCCCGTCCAATCTGGACGCCAGGGTCTACGATTTAGCTTGTACGAGTACACGTTTTCGGCTCACCAGCCGGGGTCAAAACACCATTTTGCGATTTTTCTTGCCGTGATTCACACCAAACGCAAGGCGCACGTGTCCTGCACAATGGCTCTTTTTTGGATTCATGCCTTCGTGTTGATCGTGAGAGAAAGCTCCGCATTTTTTCCCTCCATGGACATGTCAAGCCTCGTTGAGGTTTTATATGAAAGTAGGGGGAAAGCACACTCGGAGACCAATCGGGGAATACCAAGCAGCGCAGAAGAGAACAATATCTGTATCAATCGAACGGTTATGTTGGCTTCTCTTTCTTCTGGTACCATCTACGCTGGCTGCCGGTGTAATCCTCTCGGTGGTTGTTTTTGACTCGTCGGCCGTGGTAACACGGGAGGAATTCTCCGCCTTTACCTCCTGCGGTGCTTTCCTTCGATTGTTGGCGTGATGAGGGCAACAGTTGCTGAAAATGAGAGTCAAGCTTGTTTTTGGAGTTGGGTTCTTTGGCGCTGTCGGCAGATGAGGACCCCAGTTCTGTTTATCGTTGTTTCGCAGTGGTACATAAGAAAAGCAAGCTTCGCCCATGCCAGCAAGTGTTTCATTGTTGGGGTTAGGGAGGTGATGGTGAGGGAGTTCACGCTGCAATCGAGGTTGAGAAGGAACGATCCCAAGCACTACTGTACAACGAAAATGGCAGCCCACAGGTCTTTCAAGTCCAAAGGATGAGACCACCCACGCGAAAATCACGCCTTACTCGCCCATCGCCGGTACCGCATGCTCCAATCAGCGGTGCACGTGCATGTAGCATGTATACATGCACTGTCGGTGTGTGTTTGTCCTTGTTGTCTGTTGTGCCTGCTGTCTTCTTCTTTCCGTCAGGGATTGTTTTTGGCCACTACTTTGGACTATTCATGCAGCCTTGTTTGTGTGCCCACCGGCGCGAACACCGGCGCTATTCAACCGTAAGAAAAGACTGCTGTACGCATCCATCACATCCACTTTTTTGTGCGGCGATGTTGTCAGTTGTTGAGCTCAGTCGCGTGCCTTGTTTCCTGTCCCGGGCAGGGTGGAGCTGGAGGAGCGCCGCGCCCGCACCGAGTGCGACGAGGCGGAAGAGAAGGAAGAAGAGGTACGTTACATGTCAGCAGTACCTACAGCAGTTACCGGCCGCTCTCTCGGCTGCACCAAGCGAGACGAGACAAGGCGACACGAAAGCCGCGAGAGTTGCGATACGAAACCCTTTTTCTCTGTAGACACCTGCTGGTATATACCGACGTGTAGTTCTTTCACGCAAAGCTGGTTCGATTTTTCCGGTGCGCTCTCGTGCTCACACATGGCCGCCTGGCTTGGTCGGTAGTTTGTTTGCTTGTGTGCATGTGGAGGCTGTGCGTGTGGTTTCGCACCCCCGAAGCAGGCAGCAAGGTTGGTGCTCGCCCAGGGAGATCTCCGTCGCCGTTCTCGAGAACTGCGGGGGGGGGGGGGCGGCTCCGCGAGGTTGCTGAAGATGGTAGCAATCGAATGGACGGCTGGGATAGGTGGATGGATGGATGGAACAGAGTGTGCTATTGGTGCGCTTCTGATGGTTGCTGCTGCTACCGCTCGCCGTGTGCATGTCGTGCTGTTCTGTCGTTGTCGTTGACGCTCTCGTGTCGTGTTTTCTACGCTTTCTTTGACTGCTGTTCGTCGGTTGGTTCCCGAAAGATCCTGATCGCCGGCTGTGTGTTCGGTGAGTGGGCCGACGACGCCAAGTTACACGGAATCGAAAACCTCGAGAAGTTCAGGAAGGCCGGAAAGTACCGCCTTCATCTGGACAAGACGGGCACGAGGGGTACTGAGGTGGGTAGCAGTATTTGTTGCGAGCCTTGAAAACGGGAGGGGGAGGAAGGAAGCTGGACGCCTGTAACGCTGCGACGTTGTTCCCACCCGTCTTCTCTGTATCGATTCCGCGATGTTTGTGTGTGATTTCTTTGTCGCGGTCAACCGCATGGCAGGCCTGGGCTGCTTGCAAGTAGTGAGTGTTTCCCGTTGTCCCTTCTCCCCAACCGCGCCCTGCCGCCGCCGCCGCCGCCGACAACCAACCGCCTTTTTTTTTATGTCTGTTCGTGATCAGGACATGCTGATGATGGCGACGCTCGTGTCGAAGGTGCAGCTGCTGAGGGACCTCCGGGAGCTGCAGGCGGAAGCGAAGGCGGAGGAGCTCAAGAGGCAGGAGAGTCTCATGCAGAGCTCCAGCAAGGTGGGGATACTGTAAGGGGGGGGGAGGTTGCAATACGGACGGAGAGAGGCTATTGCTGGTACTCAGTCAGAAACACAAAAGTAGCTGTGCCGTATCCAGGGCGTTTGGCGGCAGTTCGCCTAGTTTATTCGCCTTCGTAAATAAATGTTGTAGTAAATGTTCGGCGACTGAGAGCATTCTTTAGCGTGTGGGTTGATGTGATACACCTTTGCTTGGGCGTCGTACACTGCATATTTTCTGTCAAGAAAATGACTCACGATTATTTTCACGGCAGCGCTGCTTGGTTGGTACTTGTATTGTGCATGTAGCGCGGTCCCCCCTTTCCTGACGGATTTCGTATCATCCACCAAGCGTGCCCCCCTACCCCCTACTCCTCAACGCAAAGTCCTCTTGTTGGTAAGACCCGCAACTTCGTCTATCCCGCCTTCGTAGGAACGCGAGGATGATTCTACGGTCTTCAGAGTACGGCCACGCATGGTATTCATGCCCCCCGCAAACGCGAGGATGGTGACCAGCTTCTGGTTCATCCTTATGCAACGTGCTAGCCTATTGGCCGGCGAAAACCCGGCATACGTATCGCTCCGTCCCGACATTGTAGGGATGCGAGGTCAATGGTGTAACGACCTCGGTGTGCGTTGACATGAGCACACACCCCGCTCCTCCTCCCCGCCCCTCCCGCCTGCTGAAAATCAAACTTGGAATGCTTTCGGTTCGCCGTGCTACTGTAGCGGCGACGACGCACAGCTGCAAGGCGCGAGGGCGGTGGGAGGCGGCAACCGACTCTCAGGCAGCAGTCGTCCGTCGGCGGCGGCAACGATTCGGCCAAGAAAGCCTCGCGCTCCGCGCCCATACGGCAACAGTCGGACATGTTCTCCATGGATGAGCAGGACGAGGGGGGGGGGGACTCGAAGCTCAAGGGCAAGAAGCGCAACAAAGGCAGCAAAGCCATGGGTGAGTTGCACCGGGGGTGTTTGCGGGAGTGAAGGAGGGTAAGAGAGAGGGGGGGGGGGGGAACAACGCACAGAGGCAGGCAGACGGACGGAGACAGAGGAAGGAAGTGGGGATATTGCCTCGGCCCTCCATGTGCTAGAACCACAACATTGTTCCTCCCTGCCCCCCCTCGTTATACATCAGTGTGTTGTCACTTTCCCTCTGCACTCCACTTCTGCCTGCCGAACTCGAACCCACCAGTCCACGGCTTCGCTCGTTCAAACCACGGTATACTTGTTTCTATCCACCCCGTGTAGTAGGACGTTCGTTCATCGGTGGAGGCCCGAATCCGAACCCGAGCCGGGGAAGCCGCCTCGCGATGTAGTCTTACCATATATCGTACGCGCGTGTTTGCCGTGAAGAGTCCAAGAAAACATGCAACGTCGCTTCCCTTTATTCAGGAGAGATCGAAGACCAGGTGGACGAGGACGAGGACGAGGACGAGGACGAGGACGAGGTCTCCAGCGCCGAGGAGGGTTCGGAGGTAGGAGGCAGCGACGACGACGACGATGACGATGACGACGACGACGACGATGAAGATGGGTCGACGTCGTCCTCCGAGGAGGACAGCATCTTTGGCAGCGACCTGGACGCCGGAGACGACGACCTGGGGCCTCTGCGAAAGTCGGCGGGGCTTCGAGGAACAGCGGCCAGGTACGCGCGGGGGAATAGGTGTCCCTGTGATGGTGTCGCAAGTGCGCACGTTCAGCGGACGGCGTCAATTGGTTGCGAACGCGACGCGTGTATCGGCAGGCACCTGCCTACTGTAACGTGAATTCCCGGAGCTCTGCCAAAGAGGTTGATTACTCCGGCGGGGTTGTTGGACCACACGAGCATGTTTTTTATCCACAAGGCTCGTTGATTAGCGTGTGTGTGGCTGGGCGGAGGCAGCGCTCGTCGTTTTAGTTTCGCTTGCCTTTGTTGGAGTAATCAATTTTTTCATGTACAATCACTGAAAGACTATACGCGTTCGAGATAATCCCACGGTCGAAGGGGATGTGTTGACATTGTTCACTTGTTGCACTGCTGTTTTGCTGTGTTTCGGCCTTGTCTTCCTTCTGCTTTTGTCCCACTCGCTTTCAACTTCGACGAAGTAGCGTAGCCGGTCGCTACAAGCCAGACACAAGATCATGGCACGACAGCAGTCGTTGTTGCTGTTTTTGCGGTTTCGTCTATGTAGACATGGTTTGTTTTCGTTCCCTCTTGCTGCCGCATTCATTCCTGCGTGTCCTCGTGTGCTACTCGCGAGTCTCAATCCTATTCTCGCGTGCAACTCTCGCCGTCGCTCATGAAATACGTATCGTTCAACCGCATTATTTGTAACCCTCGATGACACGCACGTGCCACTTGTACACTTCCCAAACACAAGGCGGTCGCGCAACTCCGGCGGCCGTCGCGGCTCGTTCGGGAAAGCCGGCGGTCCTAACGGCACCGGCATCGCCGGCGGTAGCCAGCGGGTGTCGGTAGACGGCACCACCCGCCGCCATGACAGGATGCGCAAGTCGCTCATCGGGCAGACGCTGGGCAAGCGGCGCTCGATCGGGACCAAGTCGCTCGCGAGGAACCTCGCGCCGCCCACGCCGAGGCCCGAGGCGCACCCTAGGAGGTCACAGTTCGATTTTGCTGAGGAGAGAGAAGAGAGAGGACCCGGTGGGGGGGGCGGCGATGAGGAAGAGGACTTCGACTACGACTGACTGACTTACGTCGGCAGCTCGCGGTGATTGCAGCGGGCCCTCGCCTCTACAGCAGTCGTATCGTCCCCTTACCTCAACCTGGTTTGCGCGTGTTGTGTGTAGGTGAGGGCAGGTTATTCACTCGCGTTCGGTCGGGGGTTGGTCGGTGTTGTTGAACTGTCGCGGTCCTGGAACGACCCTCTGTTGCCGACTGCATAACTCCTGTGTAAAACACGCATGGTAGGCCGGCCCCAGTGGAGTGGAGCACGAGCCGTAGTACATGTAGATGCAGAAAGGCAGAGGTGTGGCAGACAAGGGCATGTATTTGTTGAACTTTGCCCAACACCAGCTAAGCATTGTCTCGCCCAAAGTATGCAATAAGAGAGCGGCCGTTGTTGTTGTACGCAGTGCGAGGTCAAAAACCGGGAGTGGAAGGGAGGGCGTACTCACTAGCGGCGTAGGTTGCGCCGCCGACGGGGGGAAGGGACATCGTGTTTTTTGTTTCAGTTGGTCGGTCCCATCCATCTGTCTGTCCTGGGCGGCAGTCATACCTTTCTGTTCACGTTTGTTTGACGCGCCAGCCAGTGCTCATTTATGTAGACTGATTTTTTTCGCGCAGCAAAGTCATGATGATGGCTGTCACTTTGTCGGGCCAGCTTTCGAGTGAGGAAAGTTAAAACTTTGTACTGCTGTAGATACGAAAAGAAAGACGGTTGATTTTGAGCCTCATCGTGGAAATGTTATTGTTCGCTTGCGGAGAGTCGCCCCAAGAGGTGGACAGGCCTGCTCTCACGGAGCTCCTCCTGTTGAGCTTCAGGACGGCGGCGGCATTCATTCGCGTTCGTTGCTGGTTTTGACGTTGGCGCAGTTATTCCGCCTCAGGAGTAGGAGTGCTGACGACGCGTTGACTGTAAAAGTCGGTCCCCCAAGAGGAGGTTTTTCGTGTTTGGCTTCCGCTCACCGCGACAATCTGTCTCATGTATGCATACGACGCTGATCACGAACTCTGAATGACAATAGTCCGTGCTGGTTGCTGTTGTTTTGCCGCCGGTCCTACGGCAACAACACTGTGCTGTGGGTGTCTGTGTGAGACAAACCACACCGTGTCTGTTTGCAGGCTACGAATAGGGACTTCAGATGAACCAAGAAACTAACGCCTCTTGCATCCCTGCTGCAAGAAGCACCGCTGTTCTACTAGACTTACAACCGATCGGTGTGCATATTGCTGCTGCTGTTGTAAGAATGGCCCCGCAAATAAATAGACATGGGCCTACCTACCAATATTATATGCTATTACAGCAGTGTAGCATGTCTGGTTCATTCTCCTCCTCTCCTCGTTTCATGCTGAACGTAGACGAAAGGAGGGCAGGTTGCAAGCTACAGACGGAGCGGTTGCTCGCGAGCTTGCCCTTCGTTCGCTATATACTCATCGCTTGAGCCCCAACCGCCATCAACTTCCCACACCCAGCACACGCGACGAGCGAGCGTCCCTGCTTGCTGATGGGATTGACTCATGGCGGATGCTGCTCCCTTTTCTGTGACCCAACACAACAACCAACCACCGATCCATCCGCGGCATGTATGTGTGTGCCACGGCAGTGTAGCAGCAGCAGGTTAGTAGCGGCAACATGATGGTGTGCGTGTGTGTGCTGCACGCGCCAGCCCCCCCAAAAAGTATAGTCTACGTACCAAGATACTGTACCGCAGCCGTAGTAGTCTATGCAAACTGCTCATCATCTGCGCGGTTAGGTTTGTTTGTGCAGTGAGTTCTACGTGTAGCGTAGAATTATTGGTGCACGCGACGGATGGGGAGGTCCTCAGGAAGGAGGAGTAGTGGGTGGTTGTGGTGTTGCATCAGCATCGCTGAGAGTATGTCGAGGATGGTAAAAAACCAGGAGTCTATGCTTTAGAGGGTAAAAATTTGCCGGTATGAGCATTACCGTGACCAGTGGAATAGATTGAGTGCCGTCCCTGCGTATGACATTCACATAAGTCGACGTGCGTTCGACTGTGCACCGGCTAATGCCCTATAATAGTCCCCCAACCTTTTTTTCCTTTTTCCTCTCTTTTTTCTCATTTTTTTTGTGCCCATCTCATTCCATCCAGTCATCATGAGGAGAGAGGGTTATTCCCATCTATCTATTATTATGTGGTGGCCCCCATCATTGCACCTCTTGGTCCTATGTAGTACCTCATGGGCACCCATGAGACGCCATTTTATCGTTTTTTTACGTGACCCAATGATATTGTTGTAGTCTGGCTCGAGGTGTATTTTTTTTACTGACTGACTGCTGCTGCTGCTGCTGCTGCTGCCGCCGTTCCTTCTTTCTGTCGCACATCATCATCATGCAAGCAAGCAGTCAATCAATCATCATGACGAGAAGAAGACTGACTGCTGCTGCTGCTGCTGCTGTGTGTGACGGATAATACGTACTATACATACATACCTATCCACATCCATCCTCTGCTGTTATTGCTATTATCATATTAATGCAATGTTTACCACCACACAACAACAACAACAAACAACACACACACGACGAACGAACGAACGCGATTGATTGATTAATTAATCGTTGTTTATTTCGTCTCCCTACAAAAAAATTGCTTCTCTTGGTTTCAGAGTAATTATTTATTTATTTTTTCCTGTGTGGAGATAAGATACCATGTGTCCTGCCGCCCGACCTCCCGCGTGTCGACCTACTCGGTCCGTCGGCATGCATGAAGGAGGTTACCAATCTGTTTGAAAGCGCTGGAGACGTCCTGCAGTCTCACGACTGCCATCCTGGACCGTTCAGGCCTGAATTATGTATCCCGCTTCCGGCTACCTTCGAATTTAGTTGCGAGAGCTGCCCCCCTCCACCGTCCACGGGCTGTCATAAGTGTGACTACCGTTTCGTCACTATTCCTTCAGTATGTCTTTATAGGCAATCGACAGTTCTGTTGTAGCATGCGTGGTCGAGTTATCGTGCCTGCCTCGCGTGCTGCTGCTGCGCACAACCGTTTCAGGTCCTTCCTGAGTTGTTGTGCGACGGCCCGAATCGCGGAGTCGTCCGAGCGTTTGATGATCCACACCTTGGCAGGAATAGAGGCGACCTTGGGGACCCCAGCCGGCAGGAAGAAACCGCGGTACTGCTGTTTCTTGATGACAGCATCGACGACAGCAGCGACGACAGCAGTTCGGACGAGGACTCCAACGCCGACAACTCCAAGACCGGAGGCAGCGGGGCTGAATGCGGAGTGCCGGTCGTCAGCTCCCAGGAAAGCTGCAGCAACGATGCGTCCGCTCTTCCCGCTCTTCCCGCAAAGAAGCGCAGGTAATGCTTGCCGTGTTCGAAACTTCTTTCCCTTTGCTTTCTTTTAGTTTCGGCGGTCGTCAACATAGTACGTGCGCGAGTTGGTTCGTTGTTTTTGCCTGTTCCTTCTTACCGTCTGTCGTTGGGTGCTGTAGATAGCCTTTTCCCTCCCCCTCCTGGTTTTTGTTCCCCTGTGTCTCCCTTTCTTGTGCTTTTGCGCCGCCTGTACATTTAACTTAGTCTTCTTGTTGTTCACCTTGTGCGAAATACAATTAACTCATTTACGCAACAATACTTCGAAGTATCTCCTCTTCTTTCTTCTCAACTGATACTCATACCCTTCGCCTCTTCTTTCGTTTTTTTCGTTTAGGCTGCGCTGAAGAGGCCGCAGCCTCTTCCGCAGGTGCTGCGGCTGCGGCCCCAGTCCCGACGACGTCAGACGTGGCCGTGCGCAGTTCCGACGTCTTCACCGCGTCGACTTCGGCCCTGGACGAGCCTTCGTCTACCGTTCATGACCCGGCTACGAGTGCTTCTTCTACGCCCGCTCGGGGGGCGATCGCGCGGGGGGCGGGTCGTGGTCGACCCCTCTCTTCTCCGCAAGCACCTGGAATAGATCCTGGTGACGCCGTCGTCACCAGGTCCAGGTCCAGGAGCAACTCAGGTGCGTTCACTGCTTTAGGCGAGGTTATTGCCTGTTATCGAGTTCGGTTTTGTGTCTGTCTGTATGGCTCAATGTATCATCTTCCTCTTTTTTGCTTCCTCCAGACAACTGCAGCACTTCGTCGTCCTTGACGCACTTCCTTTGGTTGGTTGCTCTTCTTCCTGCTCACTGTTCTTGTCTTTGGTCTGCTTTTACCATCATTGGTGTCTTGCGTCCAGTCCCCAATGCGTTATGTGTTCAAGTGTTGAGTACTTGGGTGGTCGTTATAGTTTTTTCTTGTTGGGATAGGTATTTTGTCATCGTCCCGCCTTACTCTCGCTGCCTCAACAAATATTGCTATTGCACAGCGTTTGTATTTGTATGCCATATCATCTTATTCTTTCCTCGCTACTTTATGCTCTGTCCCCGCCACTTCCTTTCCCACGACAGGACATGACACCCGGCCTCGCCGTCCTCCCACGGCGGACGACTCCAGCGAGGCTATCGCCGCTCCCTCTTCCCCTTCTTCTACCCGTCCTCCCGCCACTACCTCGCCTCGTCGTCCTGTCGGGCGCCCGCGGGGTCGGTCTGTTGGAGCCCAGGCCGCCGCCAGCCGTGCCGGAGCCGCAGCCGGAGACGTCCATCGCCGTCGCCCTGGACGCCCCCGCAAGGATGCCGCTTCCGCCCCTCCCTCTCCTGCTTCGGAGATCTCCTCGCGTCGCGGTCCGGGTCGTCCCCGCAAGGACACAGGTCGTCCCCGCAAGGACACAGGTCGTCCCCGCAAGGACACAGGTCGTCCCCGCAAGGACACCGGTCGTCCCGCTGCCCCGCCCGACGGCGGGGGCGGGGCAGCGGGTGGAGCAGCTTCTCAGCCTTCGACGCCCTCTTCTCCACGACCTTGGTCGGCATCTCCTCCTTCAACGACAGCACCGTCTACGTCTGCACCAGCGGCCCCCGTCACTCCTTCTGCGATTGCGACATCGGCTCGCCGTCCTGGTCGCCCTCGCAAGAGTCCTCCTGCTTCCAGGGAGCCAGCCCTCTTGGATCTGTCCGACCACAGGGGACATCGCCGATGACATCATCGACAGCGGCGTCGGCGCTCCACACGACTTCTCCGTGACCATCGGCAACCGCAGTGGCGCCAACATCAAGGAGAGCCTCTTCAACGAAGGCTGCGCATGGATGACGAAGCGTGCAGTTCGTGGCGTCACCAGCATGGAGCGCGGAGACATGAACGGAAACCTACACCTCCAGGGCATCTGGACCCTGGCCCTGAAGAAGGACTTCGGTGACAGCAAGAAGGAGGAGGCGGCCTTGAGGAGGAAGCTTCGGGTGGACTGCGGGTGGACTGCGGCGGACAAGGTGAAGATCACCATCAAGCGCCTCATCAAGCAACAGACATTCAGCGGTGAGTTCTTCTCTTCGAGACTTCTGTAGAGCTTTAATGTCCGTCTGTATTTTTAGGCATCTCATTTTCAAGTGGAGACACGTCTTCTGTAGCTCCTTTATGTTCGTTGTTTGATGTGTTGTCTGTCGTCCGTGGCCCTGCTTTCCGACGGTGTGTTTCGGTGCCCTGTATCTGTGAATAAAGTCTACCCATCCGTCTCTGTTGCCTACTGTTCCTTGCGTTCATCGCCCAAGTACGCTTCTTCCTTCTCTCGTCAGCGTTTGTTTTTGGTTCTTTGCCCTTTACTGCTTCCACAGATAGGTTTCGTCTTGCCTGTTGCTCGTCTTTCTCTCTTTTCCTCTTGCATACCCTCTCCATTTTTTTGTTTATGTTCTCCACATGCGTACCCCCTCGACATTTTCTTATTCTATCATACCCCATGTACGTTTCGTCCTTTCCTTCCTGGACTTTTTTCTGGTTGCGTTTTGTTGCTTCGACGGTTACATTATTTCATCTTGCCGGTGGCTAATCCTTCTCTTTTCTTCCCTTGCGTTTCCCCTCCCACAATTCGTATGTCTTTATTCGTTGAAGGGATGGTCGGGGACTGCTCGAAGGACGAAGGACGATCACACTTCAAGACGGTCACCAAGGGCGTGTCGCGGACCGAGGTCAATATCGCCCTCACCGAGTACCGCACCCTCCAGCGATCCGTCGTCTCCGAGCTTCGAACCGAGATCGGGAAGAAGAACTTCTGGGGTGTCCTTCGGCGCTTCAAGCAGGAGCACTTGCGCGGGATCTCCGTCTCACCGGTGCAGCTGATCTCGTGGTACATCAACGACGGGGAGGGGATGCCCAGCCACACGTGGATCTGCCCGACCAGCGCATTCGCTATGGAGGCCGCGCGCGCCGATGCCTACTTCACGGCGCTGATGTCCCCATCGCTCTTTACGCGCAAGGACGCCTACTTGCTCTTCTTCTCCGGCGGGCAGGGCGGGCGCGTGAGCGGTCCTTCGAGAAGTGGGACTACCAGGACCGCGAGTTCTCCGAGATGACGGTCGACCAGGCGAAGGTGTGCTCCCACGACCGCCTGGAGCTGGAGGGAGCCATGGACATCGCCCGCGAGCGCATCATGCGCGACATTGCGGAGTCTCATCGCGCCCCGGCAGGGGTCGTCAACTTCCCCGTGGACGCAGACTCCGCCGCCGGCTCCGACTCCGACGTCGCCGCCGCCCCGCCGCCGCCTCCCGCTCGTCGTCAGTGGGACCGCATCGGCCGTACTGCGGCGGACACGTCGTCGGCATCGGAGGACCTGCAGCTCATTGTCTGCCCCAAGTGTGTGGAGCCAGGGTGCACCAAGGCCGGCAACATCGCGATGGTCGCGTGCAACCTGTGCGACGGGGACCTCCACCGATCGTGCGGAGTGCGCGGGGGTGAGGAGGACGCGGACGCCGACGTCGTGGAGTTTCAACGCATCCGGTGCTCCCCCTGCTCCACGACTTCCCATGGGAAGAGGAAGTCTCGCGCTAGCTTGTACTGATTTCTGTTTGGGGACCTTTCCGTAGATCTGTGTCATGTCCAACTTCTCGTTGCGTAGTGCCGCTGCTTTACTGTCTTGTTTTGTTTGCTGTGAACGTCTCCCACTCGCCTGTAGCGTATCAGTTCCTCGTACCGTCTGGCGGGTATGACCCGCGCCGTCCCGTTCCGGTTCTCGTCGTGATTTTTCGTTTCGTGATCGTTTTCTTATTAGTAGCTTTCGGGTACGCACGTTGTAGGTTTCGTACGCGTACCACTGCACTTTTCCCGTAGATTCATTCACTGCGCAGTAGATTTACATCTCCGCGGTCTTCCCGTCATTTAGCCAGTCTAATTTCGAGTCGTGCTCGTATTCGTCGTGTGTTTTTCATGTTATTTGTATAGTCTTAGCGGAATTATTTTTTACGGTTTCCCGTACTTTGGCCAGTGTACCTCTGATCCATGGTGGTACCATCCTGCCCTATTTTAGGTCTCCCGTCGCTATTTTGTGTTCCGTGCATATTAAGAATTAGGGGTTAACATCCGTTTCTCGCGGTTGTGTTCCGTCCTTCCGGATGGATATTCGTCATCCGCGATCATGATTTGCCGCGTTCCGTGGCCAGGTCACCCATTTGGATTTTTCGTGCCAACTTCCTCCCTCGATCTGGGTTTTGGGATCCTTGCGTGACTGTTATTAGGATTCAGATGTGTAGACGGAACATAGAAGAGCTTGGTTCCTTCTAGAAGGCGCGGAGAGATGTAACTCGCCACGGAAGGATAAAAAGCAGGGGACAGGATCTAGTAGCCCCTGCTTGTGCCGGAATTGACGGAATGGCATCGACGTCGCTAACTCGCGACACGGAACCTGCGTCCCCAAAATCTCTCCCTCTTCAATTCTTCTCTTGGGGGCCCCGCAATATATCCCTGTTTAATTAATTAAGGGAAATAGACACAAGTGGGTATACCCACCCCTTTCTCGGACAAAAGTGGGTACTCGAAAATCCAGCGCGCGCGCACTCCATAGGCGACCCCCAAACGACTCAAAACCCCATTCTGACACCTGGTCGACACAGCCAGGGACCATACACAGCACGGGCATTGATTTTTTCCCACTTTTAGGCACACCTTTGGCCCTAATACCGCCGATGCGCGCAAGGCCTCACCAGAGTGCCCACTTATGTCCGACATCGCGGTGGGTATACCCACCGGCGTCAACTAATTTTTCATGTACCCACTTGTGTCTGTATTTTGACCCACTTTTGTCCAAATTGTACCCACTTTTGTCCACTTACGAACGGCGAAAATCGAGCGGAAATCGACCTCCACGTCACCGCACGGCAGAACATCGAGTAGACTCGGAACGTCTCATAACCTCCCAAACCGTATCCATGGCATATTTC